AGCACCATCTTAACATCGACTGTCATCGACTCCCTCAGTAAACTTGGGTCCCCCGGGGAACGGTCCTTGAATGAAACAGTGGTTCCCAAGAATCTTGTGGGTGGATGGACTCACGTTAACAGGAGTAATAAAGTCCAAGCGTTCCCTCCGAAACTGAACGTCCCAAGTATCGTGCGGAAATCAATTGATTGTTTGGCCGCACAGTCTACACTCAAGACTGTCCGCCCTGTCATCACTGAGCCCAGGAATCGAAAACGCGCCTCGACATCCAAACAACAAGATACCAAACCTAGACGCCCTGGAAAACCTGGGAAATCAATTGCGGTTCGTGACGACTCTGTCATAATACTGAAGTCCGATGGGAACGTAAGAATACTGCCCGACATACCGTATTCTGAACGAAATCTCATCCGGAACATCCCTAAGGAATCTCGCGAGGCGTTTTTCCGTGGACGAAATATCATTGTGCAAGGTGTGTCGGTAAATATGGACCCAACTCAAGCAAACTCTGATATTCGGGAATGGAAATTCATCAAGCATTCCTTAAAACTCAAGAACATATTGACCCAACAGGTAATGCGACTAACCAAGAGAGACGGAGACTCTAGGCCCCGGCTGTTGAAGATAACCTTCCCCTCCTCCTCCCACATGGCGGTTGCAACTCTGGAAGCATTTCGTGCCAATAGACGTCGGTTGCCAACTGGCATCCATATGCATCCAGATAGGCCCCACGACAGCAGGATCAAGCACAAACGAAAACTGGAGCTGACAATTCAACTCGTGGACTGTCTCGATCATAAAAAAACGTGTAAAGGACAGGGACTACCAACTTGGTAAACATCGTATAGGTAGGCTACCTGTCCACTCACACACGGCTCATATAGACAAACAAGAAGAAGCTCACGCGTTCCAAATTGGAAGCATAAACTGTCTATACACGAACGCCGCGAGCTTGCCAAACAAAATGGATGAGCTACGTGAACTTAGCAACGCTAATGATGCCCATCTGATAGGAATATCCGAAACTTGGATAACGTCTCAGTTTACGGACCAAGAGTTAGCAATAACTGGGATGTCTTTATTTCGCAACGACAGAAAAACAGGAATTGGGGGTGGGGTAGCACTATACGTACGGTCATGCCTGGATGCGCACCAACTTCACAACCAAGAGTTTCGCAATCTTGACGAGTCAGTATAGTGCTCAGTAAGATTATCTACCACCTCGAGGTGCCTAGTTGGGGTCGTTTACAGGAAGCCCACTGCCGACATCGAATATGACAAACGTCTGCTGGAAGGATTAACTCGCTCTACGCGTCTTGGATTCTCTCATATCCTGATTCTAGGGGATTTCAATCTCCCTAGAATCAACTTCGTGGAACATACATACATTGGTGGTGCCAACTCTACTGAAGCTCTGTTCTTCAACCTTATCGGCGACCTGGGATTATTTGAAAATGTGAAGTCGGCAACCCGTTGGAGAAACAGTCAGACGCCGTCACGCTTAGACTGGGTATTCACAAATGAAGAATTCCAATCGACAACCTCTCAGTTATGGCTCCCCCTGGGGAAAAGTGATCACGCCGTCTTATCATTCAGCTTTGTCAGCAAGACGGAGCTACGATATCCTACTAGCAACAGGCGCTGGAACTTCAAACGGTTGAATGTTTTAGCTTTACAGGACTATCTACAACAGGTGGGTTGGGACGTTCACCCTCAAATTGAAGTGGATGCTCATTGGGATTTTTTACTGCACACGATCTTATGTGCTACTGAGCATTCAGTTTTTAAAATGGTCCCAAAAAAGCTACAAGCAACCTGCAATCATCAAGAACCACACTCGTCGTTTGCTAAGCCGCAAAAGGCACTGTTGGGCTGAATATAAACGAACTGATAACAACGGCGCGTACAGGCAATACAAACATATAATGAACATATGCACAAAGGCAATAAGAGAAGACAGGCTTCAGTTCCAGACCAAGCTTATCGATAGATTCGTCTCCAATCCGAAAAGCTTATTCAGTTATGCAGCTTCTCTTCGACAAGGCAAAACTGGAGTTTCCCAACAGCTTGGTCCTAATGGCCCGACCAACAACGACAGTGATACCGCTGACCTTTTGGCTGAACATTACTCCCGGACATTCCAGCTGACCCACATCAATTATACTGACGAAAGCTTCACCTGCACCTGTACAGGACTTTCCGAAGTGGACCTGAGTGTTGACCTGGTGCTCCGTAAATTACAGAACCTAAGGAAAGACACTTCTCCTGGTCCGGACATGGTTCATTCCGCTGTATTGAGGGAACCAGCTTCAATCCTGGCGATACCACTTAGCGTGATGTTTGCACACTCGCTAAGCAGAGGCAAACTACCGGAAATATGGAAGCTGGCCCACATCACACCAATTTTCAAAGGAGGTCGACGCAGTGAACCCTCAAGCTACCGACCAGTGGCCCTTCTCTCCATACCTTCAAAAATTATGGAATCCCTAGTATTCGACGGCATACTAGAACACTTTTCATCCTCAAAGTTCTTCTCGCCTCAACAGCATGGTTTCAGAAAAGGTCATTCTTGTATGACCAACCTGCTGACTGCGGTGGATAGATGGACAACCATCCTTGATCGCAAGTGGAAGGTTGACGTCATCTACCTGGACTTCTCAAAAGCTTTTGATAGGGTCAACCATGCAGGTCTTATCAAGAAGCTTGGACGATTGGGTATAAAACCCCCTTTAATTGATTGGCTCTCTTCATATTTAGAAAATCGACACTTTAAGGTCAGGGTTAACTTCACTCTCTCTCAGGCTATGGATTGTCCTAGTGGGGTCCTCCAGGGTTCAATACTAGGACCTCTTCTCTTCTTGATTTATATTAACGATCTTCCTCAACAAGTTTAATCTGACTTATTGCTTTTTGCTGATGATGTGAAACTTTGGAGAGAGAGATACGTAATCATAATGATATACTAGTTCTTCAGGAGGATCTGACTCGACTTCAAAGTTGGGCAGACGACAACGGACTTACCTTCAACACTTCAAAGTGCAAGGTAGTCCATCTGAGACATGTTGCAGACTATAGTTATAACTTAGGTAACTCACCTCTAGAAGTTTCCCAAGTTGAAAAAGATTTAAGAGTGTTGGTACCCTACGACCTGAAATCGTATGCGAACTGTGACAAAAACGCCTCTCAAGCAAACCTTGCACTGGTAACATTGAAGCGCATTTTTGGCCAGTTTGACGGTAGAACCTTCCATATAATCTTCAACAGTTTTATTCGTCCCCACTTAGAGTACGGAAACATAGTATTTCCTCCCTCCCTCCCAAAGGATAAGGTCACTCTGGAACGTATACAACGTCGAGCCACGAAATCAGTTCGGGGTCTCAAATTCAAACCTTATGAAGAGCGCCTCAAATCACTTAACCTTTACCCGTTAGAGTATAGGCGTCTTAGAGGTGATCTTCTTATGACTTATAGTATCCTTAATACTTCTGGTCATCCCCTTAAACAACTTCTTAAGCTTAGTCATAACACTAACCTAAGAGGTAACACCCAGAAATTGGAGACCCCACATAGCAGAACAGACTGCAGACACAACTTCTATTCCGTTAGAGTTGTCAAGTGCTGGAATTCGCTGCCGACTGAGCTAGTCCAAGCGACCTCCCAGGAGTCCTTTAAGAGGAAACTTGACTTATTCTTAAGGGCTAAGGATAACATATTATTATGATTTACCAAACTCTTTTTTTCCTCTATTATCGTTCATATACCTAGGTTCTTACCTGGAGGTATTGGTGATCCACTGCTACCAGACACGGAAGCCCGTTAAGCGAAAGCTTCTTCTATTCCGTCCTCAACTATTTGAACCATTTGAACCTTTCCATCGATTTGTTAAGACTGCAACGTGTTAGTCTCTAATTGGCATATGTGCATACTGTGCGTATTTCCTCGATATAGCCTTAATTCACAAGCAATGTAAACAAAGATAGATAGTGACTAGCAGTGGAATCCAGGACGCGCGTTTCGTTTTATTCGGGATTCGTCAGCTGGATGTGCCTGCATCTCAGAGCTGATGTTCACTCCGGTACTCGAACACTGTACCTTTCGCTTCGAACGCCATCGCGTTATCCACTCGGACACTGAGTGGACATCGACTCTGAGATGCAGGTACATCCGGCCGACGAGTCCCAAATAGAACGAAGCGCGCATCTTGGATTCCAGTGTCAGCCACTATCCATCTTTGCTTACAATGACGTATAATGTTCCAATAAGCAACAGGCTTACAATTTTCGAATCGGCGTACCAGATCACATCGGGCTCAACGCTAAATATACCACAGGTATCCCGAGTTTAACAACGGTATTAGCAGCAACATTTCTATGATAGAGGTACGCCAACCCAGCCACATCAGAAGTCAGAAATAAAGAGTTGCGAAGACATATTTGGTAGACTATCGATATCGCGAGGGGCGTTTGGTCTAAGTTGGCTGTTGGCAACTTACAGAACTATTTGTTTTGGGGATTTACTTACCATAACATGTTTAGTGACCTACTTTTCTGACGAGAACGCGACTGGTAGAATGGAAACGATTATTATACTAACTAATTGTACCAGTGATTGTTTTAGTGTGCTTGTTTGTTTAAGTGTACCAAAGACACACTTTCTTCCGTTGCCTGTGACACTGCACGAACTCGAGTACGTTCAGTAGTTCTGCATGTAAGCTTTGTAACGTATCGGTATTCTTTCGATACTATCAGATCGTCAACAAATATATCTTATTTCTACAGTCAATTGCTTTCTGATTTCGGCTTAAGGAGGGATCTAACTAGATATCTGGCACGTAATCTTCCTGTAGTGTTGATCATAGTCAACAGCGACTGGACGCCAACTACACATAATCGATATAACTCCGGACGTTCAGATAGTTAGGAGGGGACACTAACACATAAAAACATTTTGCAATATCAGGTTTCCAATCCTTTCATAAGAAATTTAGGTACATGGTATATACTTTATCCAATAATCTAGGCCAAATCAATTATACCTTGGTTAAGAAGTATCAAATGAAATTATTTATGGAATATTACTCGTCAATTAATAGTTGTATAAGATCAGTTGGCCGATAGATATTAACTCCAAGTTCACCGTATGTAAAACTTAGAGCTTTATCAATCAAGTATAACACAAATCATCGTTGTACAAGTCCACTGTAGCGTAATCAATATTGAGATATAATTTATTGACCCATAGAAAGGTAATGGCCAAAAATCCCAAATATGATCGTTTAACATGCTTCTTTTACTCACTGAAGCAAACGAGCCATCGCCTATGATGCACAATTTTCACATAACAACATACATGTGGGTGTGATATTACTACATAGAACCTGACATTGTACCATAAAAGCATTAAGCTAGAGCCAAGAAACCAAGTGGTTCATTATAGCTCTTCACGAAGATATGGGGTATAAGTTAGATATCTTCTGTTTGCAATCATGGCAACAGAAGCATCCTAGAGACATTTTGTTTATACCACTCGATTAATGTATTAGATGTTTGAAACCTGTTCAGTTTTTTCGAGGTCAAATGTACTTCTGAGCTTCTTAAGAACCAACTGTCTCCAAGGTATGGGTGTAGAAGATGAGATGAAGCGAGGTTTCTGCCCCCGTTCATCTATATGTTTTGAATATCCTCAGTCAAGTATGATACGTTCATTAAAAAAGAGAAGAAATATGATAAAAAATACAGGACTTTGCGAGAGTAAGTTTGTTACAATAACCGTATGAAATAGAGATAATGGCTGAAACGATACTGCAAGAAAAAGAGACGACCTTTCCTGAAAAAGATTATGGTGATAATAAGAAAGAATCCAAAGAAACATGTGTTGTTAAAACACTTCGAGATGCGAAAACTAGTATTTCACCGTTGTCTCTTCAAAAGTAGGTTTTGTTTACTAAAATATGAAGCTTTTTATCATAGGGAGTGCTTCCCAAGAAAAACCCACGTAAGTGTTGTTTGGGTCTGTCGATCATAAAGATTGATAATTATCCCAAACTCCCAACCTTTTTAAAAAAACGTTAAGATCCTGACCAAATTTCATCATAAATTTTGTGGAGATTCCTGCCAAAACCCTTAAAATTTCTATTGGTTTTAATTTTCCCAGTGTAAAGAAAAAATCTTGGTAAATTCTAAATACTGAGGAACGAGTCACACTCGATGTGTTATGTATATATATTTGTGTATGTATTTATCATCAACTTCCTACCTGATGCTCATTTTATTTGAAACTATCAGGTCCAACCTTGGCGTTGATGCCTACAAATAACATATGCACTTCCAGGAAATCTCAGAAACGTTTTTTAAAAGACCTCAAATGTTCCAAAGACTTAATGTCAATCCTTTAAATTTACGCGAGTAATAGACGCTTGTTTTGACAAACATGAAATAAGATCTTTTTAAAAACTATGTCATTTCATGAGACTTATCTATCTACTGAAGTCAAAGAGGGTTATAGATTAGTTTGCGGAATTAGGATTAGGATGTAGGATTGGACGTTGGAGTTAGGAATTAGATTTCTGGTGTTCACCACTAACTCGCATGTGCTATAATCCCAAAATGCTATTTAGCCATCGGATGAATGGATTTCTGGGAAGAATCTGATATTTGCTCTCTCTGTCCGTAATTCGCTCTCTCTGTGGTCATAACACTAAGTAGCATCCTGTTGTTTTTTTTAGGTTGTAACGAATTTAATTCGTAACCAACAGACGCGTTTTTTCATAACGTCACAATAATTCATGTTTCTGTCTTAGACCAAGATAGACAAAAGCGTCGATATCTATGTGTAACTTGAGGATTTATAGTTCATTTTTAAAGTGATAGTGACTTATTAATGAAGTTTGTGTTCCTATATTTGAGCCACGGTTCAGAGGCCAGCGATGTTACTCAGTGTACAAAATGAGCAACGACGAACTAGTTTTCTAAAGTGTTACCAATTGGTCGAAACGTGGTTAGCTTTACTGTTGGAAATAGATAATTCGGTGTTAGTATGTTCCTTAGTTAAGTTCTGAAATTAACGTCATTGTGGAAATCAGAAAACAAAAAAAGAGACGGGGGTTATCAGTTTTGAACATTGTCAGTGAAGATTACTGAGTTAGAATCACATCCTCAATTTAAACGTTGTCAGTTCTTAAAAGTTCAGTTAAAGTTCATTTGAATGTTACAGAACAGTTTGTTTAAATAAGTCAATTTTTAACTCCCCTCAAATCATTGACGCAATGAATAAAGACACTGACTCACTTTGCGGATATGAAAAATAAACGAATGCTGAGGTGGTGTACCAGTCAACTCTTAAAGAATTCGTTTCTGAGTAGTAACGTAGAACATGGAGTGGGCAAACCTGATTACTCCACTAATTCGACAGAGTCAGACGTAACAGTATTTGAGCACTCCTAGATATAATAAGCAATTAATGAGTCATCAGCAAAATAATGTCTGCATTAACCCTCAGCTAAATGCTGGTCATCACTATATAACTCCATATTATTTAATGCTTTAAGGAGTCAGTGATGTTCGGAATCAATAGTCAAATGGAAATGCATAACACAGGCTCCTATGGCACACAGAAATAACAGGCATATCTAAAAATACCTAAAATTCATTAGCATAACCTTTCCTTCTGTCCGTCAATTCAGGAATATGGAGTTAGATTTAGAAAACATCCAAATCGTCAAAAGTGGAAATCCCGCAGATGTTTTCGTCGGCAGAATAATCAGGCCTAAACTAACTACCATTTATCTTTGAGAGATATCTTGTGATGTTCATTTATGTCAAATATGTTTGCTAAAAGAACGACAGAGGAAATCAAAATCACCCTCACAAACTACTAAATGTAAACGAACTTAAATATCTATAAATTGTTGTATATGGTATTATCAGTAATGCTTCGAAAATCCTAGACACTAATCGAGAGATAATAATGGAGAACAAGCCAATTTCATGGCTGATGAAGAGGTGATTCTTCCCACTCATAAACCTTTTCGTGAATATTTAGACTTCGACTGCTTAATATCTTCATGTTTTTAAGCCAATTTTATGGGCTTAGTCTAAATCCTCTGAATCTTTGGAAAAATTAATAGCTAATTAAATATCAAAACGTTTTCATGTGGACTCATTTAGGCCACTTCTAATAGTGAGTGCTGTTAGCGATAATAGGATCTGAAGTCAATTACAGGTCTCAAATGTTTTGATAAATGCAACCATACCACATATGTTAATGCTTCTGGGTCAGCAATTCATATCCGCATATTTTAGTAACTACTCACCATGTTTTACTCAACCGTTGTGGATATTATTCTGTTTGTTGTTGTCATTAACTTATCGGTTGTAGAGTACAAGTGGTCACCTCCATAAGAACCCGAAATGAAATATACATATTTGTAGACCCACAGTAGATATGAATTGTTTACTCTCTTTAAAACTTTATGCCTTACATCCTACTTTAACATATATGAATGAAAATATTCCTTCTGACCGTCTTAAACTACTAGTTCGATCAATCACTAATCATATATTATCTCACATAAACACCTATGATGGTTATGTATACTGGTGTGTCGAAAATATAAGCTTGTCATTGTGTGTTATCAAGTTTCCAGATACTACTACCTTGATATTTTTACAAAAATAAGTCTGAACGATGTCTGTTTTACGTTTTTTCTAATCGTTATATCATAGAATAAATATTATAATCGGGGTTTGTGCTCTGATTAGATGTTACTTAAAGATTTAGCATTTTACAAAACTTCAAATAAAGAAATTACCTACGCCTGTTACTCTTCGTGTGGCATATGCCACCGACCAGGATTCTCTTAACTACTGTGTTCCGGGCCTCCCTTTCCAGTTATTCTCAAGTGCTATCCATCCCAATTGTCGGCACTATGTGTTATTTGGTTTGTCTCTTTTTCCTTAAAGATTCCAAGTTAGGGCTTGCCTTGTGACGCGGCTTGTTGGTCTCGGTAGAGTGTGACCTATCCACCCCTAGTAGGTTTTGTCAACTCATATTTCATCTGGAATGTGGTTCGTTCTCTTCCAAAGTTGGTTGTTGCTGATGATGTCTGGTCAACGAGTCTGGAGTATCTTGTGTAGGCAGTTGTTTTTAAATACTTGTACCTTTATGATAATAATTGTGATAGTCCTCCAAGTTTCACTTCCGTAAGTTTCTACTATCCACGCTGACGAACACTTCTCTTGAGATGTAGAGGTTTCCATAGTCCTATTACTAACTGATTTTTGGGCTGATTTATCGGTGGTATTTGTGCATTTTTAGATTCCATAAACATCAAGCATTAGTATGTGAAGTGAGGTTACACGTTATATGAAACAAACGATTTTTGTCACTTAATACGTATACGCGGATGATTTTGTCACATGTTCAAAGCTCACTGCGATGCAAACGTTGGGACCCGTATAACTGAATGGATGGTTAAAAGAACATTTTCAATAGGTAGACCTGATATTTGAAAGGTTTCACAAATACGGCCTTACTACTAACATAGAAAGATGTCAAGTCAGTACCAACTCAGTGAGATTTATTGGAATTACCGTCGGAGGTTGGTGCCAAACTTGGTGGTGACCATTTTGGGGCACCCAAAACCAAGCATTATTCATGTCTTTGTCTATGTTGCGGGATTAAAACAAATAATGAGTTGGCTTAAAATCAACGATATCTGACAGCTAAAGAGGCCGATCTTAATAAGGTGTCCTTCTTTACAGTCTGTCATATTTGTTCTTCCTCCTAAGTATTTGTAAAGAGAATGTGGTCGAGCATCTTTGCAGCCATTCCTATTTATGACTTTAGTATTTCATCTTGTACGTTGTCCGGTCTTGTTGTCTTCTCGCTTTTGATATTTCTGATGGCCATGTTGATTTCTTCGACTGTTGGTGAGATAACATCTATATTTGTCTGTTATTTCCTTCTTTCTCAGCCTTTTCTCTTGTCATTGCTGTCTTCCCTATTTTGGGAATTGGGTAGCTACAGATAGATTTTTTGAATAATTCTCTCTACTGTCACACATGGAGTCTCGTCAGGGCTATAGTGAAAGTAGGTAACTACGTATGTAGCCAACAATTGTAACTTTTTCTAAAATGTAACTAACCACAGTGTTAGTACAAAAACGCGAAATTGTAGTCAATTACCAAGAGAACAATAAACACATTCACATAAAACAGTAGCACGGAAACAAAAAAATGAAACAATAACAGGGGTTAGTCATGTTTATATAACTAGTGCAATTTACCGATAGTGTTGGTGATTGAATATGTAAAATGAGTTTAAAGTATTTGATTTGAACGAGTATTGTACAAATAGACTGATGACTATTTGGCGTTTTTTATAGGATGTTTTGAGAAACAAAGACAAAATCCCTCTACGTTTCACGATCTTGCATTCATTTCATATTGATTGTACTAGTAGGCAGAAGCTAGAGTAACTGTTACTAAATGAAAATTCGCGTGATCTAATTACGGTTGGAACTAGAAAATGAACTGCTATAAAACAGTCTAAGGCGTAATCGAATGCAAGATTATATGTTCCATATTTATGATTAGCTAGACAAATTATTATTATTAACTAACATGTTTACTGACAGTATGAGTTTATATTTATGTTGAATATCAAATGGAGTCTACCGTTTTTCTTTACTTTTCTCAAACACAACAAGTTTCTGCAAAAATCTTTGTTATATGTTCTTGAACCTGTAGTACTTGTGTTCTAATAATAATAATTCATGTATGTAATGACTTTAATTGTTTATGACATTGTTAAATTCACCCCAGAAAGCTACAAATCGCCAGGTGTATTGTGAAAGACGTCTGCCGAACAGTTATCCAGATATGGCAAAAAATTGCACAGAAGATATATCTTTTCTACTTTCACATATTTTAACAGACGGTAGCTCTCAGTCAGTAAATGGAAAGCAATCTATTGATTACCATATATCCACTGAAATCCCAGAACAAACATTCATTCAAAAACCAACAAATCCTATCAATGTTGCATCCAAAGAGAACGATGAAGTGATTCAACAAAGCAAGTTTATCACAGCGTACTGTGACTCGTCTATGTTATTTTACGTTTTTTAAAGGACGAAATTGTTGCAGTGAAAGTAATACTAAGATGTGAGGTTGAAAAACCAACGGTGAAGTAGAGGTTCTTAAAAATGAATGCATTTATCTCTAGTCTGCTTGATGTACATGTTAATTGTGACGATTAATTCCTATGTACGTAGATTAAATTTGACGACGCTATAAATGGAAATGGTTCCTTGAAGTATTGTGCTGTACGTTACGCAAGACAAACAAATTCATCATAGTCCTTAATATTCAACGGGATTTTATCTTAACTCAAATACATATATGACACTTCATCACTAGCACCGGCACACTAAACTTTTGCGTTTAACGTATAATCGGTTTTTTTAACTTTGTCCTTCTAGACTGTATTTGCTTACAGTTCTTATAATTACCCGAACTACCACTTCTGCTTACAATCATATGTAGGGTGTACTGTGAACTTTTTCCGAAATATATGGGGATTTTACTGAGGTAAGGTGGTGGTTGGAGGTGGTCAACAGGAAACCCTGGACCCGGGTTTCGTGCTACTTGGCACTCGTCAGCAAGATGTACCTGTAATCCAGAGGGAACTGATGCTCCCTGGCGGATTCGATCCCGCGTCACTCAGCTTCACAGTCAGAGACGTTACCACTGAGCTATTCGGGCCGCTACCAACCTCCTATAGGATTTTACTTATTATTCATTCCAACACATAGTAGGACATTTTGAAATGTGTCTGTATATGGTAATTGGTCTGATTAATATGTTTAACTTTCACAATACTATTACTCATGGATCATATGATTAGTTAAAATTCGATTCTGTTTTTGTGTTGATTCATATTATTGTTCTGCTATATCGATGTTTGTACTTTTTAACGAGATTTCTGAAGTATTTAAAGTAGTAATAACCATGTATGTATACACATATAACTCATTGTGTGTCACGTGTTTGTTTATATATTAGTTCAGCTTGTCTTCCTAGATTTCCCAGACTGATATTTTCTCTGAGATATATTTTCCGTAATAACATAGCAGTTGTATCTTTTCGTTTCAGTTTCAACCTAATATACAGTATGGATTTATTGTTTCAAATGATTCAACAACTTTGCATAGTCTAATCCATTGTAACGGTATATTGCCATCTCATGAATAATAGGGAATATATTTTATCTTCAAAAATGTTCTACCCATGTCCGGGTACATTTGTAATTAGAAATCCATAAAATGACATTTTTCTACACTATTGTGAAATCGGCACCACATCTTTCTGGTTTGCATTATTTTAAGTTTAACATCTAAACCCGTTCCCTATCTGTTTTCCTACGAGTTTGTCTTAATCATAAAAGCTCATTGTCCAGACACATATTTCTAATAACTTTTTTAGGTCCTACAATTAATGAAAAGCATAGTATTGAATCGAATAAAATTCCAGTTTCAACAAATTTCAACAGCTTTGTACGGATCACAAGTGATTTTGATTTTCAGTATGAGGTTTTATAAGAGATTAGACTTCATAAACTAAGTAACTGCCTCAATCTAAAATGAAATATGTGCAAAAATAATTTGGTCAAATGCCTAAATCTGAATAAACTGAATGACAATTTAAGCATTCTGGAATGGCTGTTCATTTCACTTAATATCTCACGAGATTTAGGAATTAATAAGTGCCCTTAATAAATTTCATCTTAAAATTAATGTTGACGCTATAAACAACATGTGTAGACTTTCATCTTATTTCGGAGATAAGTACTATCGAGTTGTTACTTTAAATAACTTGTACTCAAATTGAGTTGAATGAATGACTGTATTAAGATGTCCTATTTTCAAGGATAATAGTCTACACATACCGACATTATAGACTCATCTTACCGGAATAAGCTATTCTCTCAACAGCAATTCAGAAAGTTATATCTCTTAATATAGAGTAACTGATTTAAAAATGGTATCCATTCAAAAAAGTGTACATTATTAAGGGTGACCATCAGAAAAGCACATATAAAGGTGAGCATTGAAATGCAAATAACATTTTTAATGATGTGAAATATGTTCGATTTATTTTTCGCCTTACGACAAATAAAAAGATCCACTTTCAACGAATACTGTAATTCTTTGAATTCATTAACAAATTGTTATTCTTATTATTCTGATTGTGTTATCTCGCGCGTCTATTTTGAACAGCTAGGGAATTCGTTCTGTGAGAGTCATATTTTGAAAATGCTTGAGAAAAGTTTGACGAATTTGCCGTTGAATAAGTTTTGAACACTCGGCATTCTCCATTGCATGTATCCCAAAAAATATTGTCCTTTGTGCTCTCCAGCGAAACTTAAAAAACTTTACTCTGTCGATTGTTGACATCTGTGACAATAAAAGTCAAATGACTAAGTATTATTTAATACTAATTAGCTGAGGAGTTCAATCGGTCATTGATGGTTTCGCTTGATGTTTCTAATTCCTAGTCATTTGCTGTCACTGTCTTCATGTTTTTAATTTATTCATTTTTTGTATACTCCCTAAGTAGACAACTATCTTTTACACATTTGACTTGATTTTCTTTTTTTTCTTGATTGTTACGCAATCTTACTTCTATCTTTGGAATTGACAGACTAAGAGAGGTAATAGGCGTTAAAACGTAAGCGATTTATCACGACAATAAAATAATCCCAGCAACAAATTAACTAACTGGATATAATACATCAAATGAGAGTGTCAAAGGGAGTAACATTATTTTAATATAGATGTGAAAGTTACATACATTATGAATTTTCGGTAACACAGTTTACCATATTTAGATGTGTATTTTCACATTGTGTCATTCCACGCAGATAGTCTTGTGTCGATCTATTTTAGTAGTCTTCTATGACCAGTTTGATGCGTAATACTACTACTTCCCCATACTTTCTTTTTACTTCCTGTTCATGGGTTCCTGCAACAGACTGTCTGATTTATAATCCATCTAGACTCTATTCCTTTTTTAGACCACCAATGAATTTTTATATACTTGGATGAGCGGTATTAATGATTTGGCTTAAGCCTCTATACCACCCTTACATCACATTATTTGTTTTTGGAAAGCCCTCCACAACAGAGTTAGAGTAGACAGTATTTCACATTATGAACCTTTGAAAATATGAAAAACTTTCGATTTAACCACGAAATAAATTGAACAAGTACTAGAATCAAAAATTTAGTTACAAACAGCTAAATCAGTTTCAACGTTATTTTAGATGTCAACTTCGGTTTTCGATTGTTACTCGTAAATCGTACACTAAAATTTTTGATGCTAATGCCTCGAGATTTAAGCAATTTTTACACTCGTAGTACGGCATTTGTTTGATAACTTTAATCATGATTATTTCAGGTTTCCAAAAGTTTACTAATGTGTTTTATGGAAGTAACATCACCTAACTAGACTAATTTACCAATAGCGTTACGAACATCAATGAGTTTTTCTTTCTAAATACTATTGACTAGAATCCTCAACCATTGCTAGTCAGTGGTATATAACTTTGGCACACATCCTGCTAGGTATTATTTGTTACTAAAATAGCTTGTCAGTTGTTTGAAAAAAAATACAGTTGATATAAAATGATAAGTTTATTTGAATAGAGCAAGAACGAACGTGACAGAATAGCACAAATTCATTTTATTTCATAGTCTCTCATCAGTTCATTACAGCCTAAACATTCATCATTAAGAAGTCGGTGCACATACTTCTGATAACCATTGTCAGATATGCGAACATTAACTCTCCTTTCTGTTCTTTCAATGTCTGTGCTTCAGCATATGTAAACTGGTGTATACAATTGAGGCTAACATAAAGTATCTGTTTACTTTGAATGTTTCAGCGAGCTAGTGATGAAATACAAGTGTGGTTGAGATCTTGACTGTTTGAAATATGCTTATTTCAATGTCAACAAATATTCTTTTTCAACAACTCTAATTCCTACTTTTCTTGCTGTTAGTGGGCAAACCTTTATCTGGTTCAGTTCAGAATGTCAATAGACTTAATAGTCCAGCTTCAAAAGCTTCTAAGTCAATTCAGTGCTCAATTGACAAACCAACTACAAATTCTGTTGAAATTCATTGTGATATTTTAAGCGTAACTAAAAATGATGATTTTTCATTTGTTCTTGATGAGAACAGTAAACTAATTGCTCAGGTAAGTACTTCAAATTATTATTATTATTAGATATTTAACCTACTTGATGTAAACATTTTGTTTATTAACCTAAAGCAAAACTGCAATGCTCACTTTAGATGTTCCCATTGAACCGTAACCATGAGAGTGACAGATTTTTCATAGCCAGTAACACAGTCGATTAGTTGTTACCTTTAAAACATAAGAACTAAATAAGATTTGATTAAACTTGAATGGATAGTACAACTTTAGATTTTCTAGTGAAATTTAGCTAACATCTTGATTCTCATATCATGAGAAAGTTTGATAATCTCCTAGTTGTAATATGAATTTCTTTTCAAAGGAATTTATTGAAATGGAAGAAACTGTAGACGTTGTGCTTCGGATACTTAACTCGAATAATGTTTTTGTCAAATATTCAAGCTGCCTTCAGCCAATAGTTCTATACTGTTTGACTAAATTTTGTGCTCTTCATTAAACCACATGAAGGTTTACTGTAAATCAGATGATGTCTATGATGTATCAGTACTATAAATATGTGGTATTTCAGTACTCACATATTTGTTACAAGGAACTGTCACTTGTTTTGATAACAATGAGTTCTATAGTCCAATGTTTTACTTATCTTTCTATTTCACTGTTGACTAGTATACAGTAACCTAGAACACCGACGTCAGTTATCCGGAAAGACTGATATTGTCATTCACAAGTGAAATTAATCTATGATTTTGAGCAAACATCAATGACTATCAGTGAGCTGAATACTTATTTATTTATTTATAATTTATTTAAACACATAAATATTGGTACAAGAAAGCACCAGATATATATGCGCCGCACAAATCTCATTCGATTTGTATGAGGGCTGTGATACTGCCCAGACTGAAACAGGTGGTTTCCTTAGGAGGCTACACCCGGAGCCTTTGACCTGAATGTCTGATCCACAAGGCAGTGGAGCATCGTGAGGAGATGCAGTCCCATGGTAGCCGGTGATCAACGGTTGATTCGTACGCCATTTGTTCCCTCAGGATACTGGAGCCCATGTGCACCACTGGTTTGGAGTCAGAGTTTTCCAACTCCCCTAGATGGACCCTCCATGTCCACCAACCCGGTTAAAGCGCCGGACATTCGCTTTTCGTCCTCTCACTTTCGTAAACAACACCCCCAGCCACGAGAAGGCAGTGAGTAGGACTTCCCTGGCAGAGGCTATATATTCGCTGGCCATATGAGAGCATTGTGGACACACTCTCAGGTCGATAAGACTATTCCTAAACCATTTTCTACCTGAGGTCCCTTTAAAGAAAGTATCTTTTCACAGTATAGACAACCAAGAAGCCACAACCATCATTATATATCTGACAGCCCCTGAGATTACCTAACTATGAAGTATAACTGATCATATTTTTATCTTGAAAAATAAGTCAAGTATCTAAGTATATTTTATGATAAATAAAAAGATACGTATAAAAAGCTACATTTAATCCACCAGTTTGGGAGACAAGGATGTAACGCTGGTAAAACTAGAAAACGTTTAGTTATTATTATTAACATGCACATTCATTATATATGCTTTAGTTAATACCGAAAATCAACCATAAATCAATATCAATTATTAAATCCGAAATGATTCATATCCCACTCAGAGAAACTGTAGAATATATTTGTGAACAGCTTAGAGAACAGGAAGCGGTAACTACAGTCCCTGTGGAGACCATCAAAGAATTACTACTAAAATGTACTATGAATGTACATTTCAAATTCAATGGGGAAATCTACAGACAAATAGATGGTGTCGCGATGGGTTCACCTCTAGGTCCCATAATGGCTGATATTTTTCTCGCGAAACTAGAAAACGGGCCACTCACACAACAGATTGAAAAGTTTTCACTTTATTGCCGATATATGGACGACACGTTCATCCTATGTAACGACTATACTGACTTAATGGAGACACTGCAGCTATTCAATACAACTCATCCGTCTATAAAATTCACGTGTGAGGAGGAAAATGGAGGTAGGATCGCTTTTCTAGATGTTCTCCTTACAAAGAGAAAAGACGGTTCATTAAAGAGAAATATAAACAGGAAAACATCGTGGACGGGTCAGTATACTAACTTTCTTAGTTTTGTTCCTCTACAGTACAAAAGGAACCTAATTAAGACATTACACTATAGAATTAAGACCATATGCTCTGAAGATACGGTCGAAGAAGAAACAAAAGCATTATATATGACCCTGAGGGAAAATGGATACCCGGAGAAATTTATAAACAAAAACATAACTAGTAAAAGAGACCATAAAGAATGTTTAACTGTGAATAAAAAGCCTCTGTATATACGTCTACAATTCAGAGGTGACGCACCTAGCGAAATGGTAAGATTGAAACTACGAAGATCAATCGAAAGGACTTTTAATGCAGGTAAACTACAACTAATGTTTTCCACACGCCCAATGATCACGCCGACGTTGAAAGATAAATTGCCTAGACTAGCCACTTCCTTCTGTATCTATCAATTCAACTGCTCCTGTGGAGCAAGTTATATAGGCAGATGTTCTAGGAATTTGTATACTCGGGCTCGTGAACACCTTCCAGTGTGGTTAAGCAAAGGTGTAGTCAGAACGGTTAACAGCTCTGTTTTAGCCCATTTAGTTCAGACGGGACATAGAGCCGACATCGAGCAATCCTTCACAGTAATATATCGTGTTAATAGTAGTCTACCTAATTCTGTCAGACAGAGAATCCTGCAGACGGCTGAGGCAATCGCTATTCGGATCAAAAAGCCAGAGCTCTGCATCCAAAAGAAATATGTACAGCCGCTCCTTTTACCCTGGCCAACTTCAGGGTCAACTTGTTAATGATCAATTTTGTAATATGGTGACATTAATTTGATTAATGTTCACTTCTATATGTCAAACTTAGTTTATCTACACATCTTATCAGTCATTATTCTTATTATTATTATCTTTATTATTATTATCACACCTGCTAACCTTTTATAGAAATTTATTTATCATCCACCCCCTATCTACTATATCTGATCTAATTTATATAATTCTACATATTACGTAATTTCTGATTTGTAATCCCATTTTTCTATCTCTCACCCCCATGTCAACTATATATATTCTGACAATTTATCTTACGATTTTATTTCACTTATAAACGGATTCAAGTTAACGCATCATATTAGTCATCCCAAAAACATTAACGATTCGATCTGATTTTCATTTTATATGACAAACAATCCTTGATTCACATATTACAGTTTCTTAAATTGATGTACTCCGCCTTAAACTTGGCCAATCTTCTTTTATGGATTATTAATTTATAATTGTAGAACCTGATGAGAAATTATTGAAAAGAATATTCTTCGTTCATTTAATTGTATCTTGTAATTGTTCGTCAAACTAAATTTTTGCTATGTTCGAGACATTATTATATCACATTCGTACCGGCGAACGGAACGTAAACCAGCAACGCAATAACAGGACGAAGCTAAGCTATTACTCCGCGCCCCAGCCCTGCTAATTAAAGGAAGAAGACCAGACTCAGCAGGGAAAATATTTCATTCCACAAACAGCCCGGAAGAACGAAAATAAACACTTAACTCATGCATAATATATACAGTACAAAAATGTCTTTCAAAAGCGTCACAGAATAGCATACTGAAAGAGAAAACAAGCCAATGACGTTTACGATCCTTCCAGGTGGGAAACACAAACGGAAGGTAATAATGAATGATTTTGGGGCGAAAATGAGAAATTCAAATCTCCACCATTAAATTACAAAATAAGAAGTTTAACCAAGTGATTTCTGAAAATCGATTATCCCCAACAATTTCCTTACCGTTTACTTTTTGTCGAGAACTATTTAATAATAAATTCTATTTTGAAACATCCTTAATCACTTTTCATTAATTAAACAGGTGAATGTATACTATATTCTAATCACTCTGATATCAGCTATTTATGTTTCAATTAGTATATTTCATTATGTGAAACAAAATTCTAAGTTTTTCAGTAATTAGGATTTTGCATGGCAAACGACAACTTCAAGATTTTGTCAGGATGCGCTTCGGAAATATATTTTGATGCTTAATAGCACATGACTGGGTTCCGAAAATTATTTTAATGCTTAAGAATACAGCTGGTTATTTTTAATAAGGTTAAGAAGTTCTTAGCTTTTATATTTCAATGCAGTGATTGAGGTTTTCCTGTTATCTCACTACTACCGTCAAACAATCATACAAAAACTATTAACAAGTACTTTTGGATTATCATAATCTTTTATTGATTCTAATTTGCAGCAGAAAGCACACATTGAACATTTAAAACATGCTCTGTCATCGGAACAAAATAAAGTTCACGGTCTAAATAGTCAGTTGTGTAAAAATCAACTTGAATTTGACAAAGCTAGATTAAACTGGTTGCAGAAAGAAAATCAGTTTAAAGTGAGTTAAAAAACTGTTGACCATTTTATACCTCATACCTGCTCTCTATGATAATAACGATTCAGATTTACGTATTCTTCATTATCTTATGTGCTATGCGGGCGAACAATTCATCAGACAAAATTAATTGGCTTGAATCCATATTTTTAATACAAATGTATAGATATGAGTATAAGTAATGGATTTTTAATAGTATCCTAGTTACTGCAATACTTGATAATTAATTGTTTTAATTTTCCATATAACTTAAAATGAATAATATAAAGAAACAGTGTAGTACCTAGAAAACATATCTTATTGACAGTTCGTATGATGAATCGTTTGTCTAATTGACCCAAAAAATAGTTGAAACTAAATCTACGTAAACGAATTAAACTCCATCCTTAAGTTTAAATTAATGTAGTTTAATTGTTTAGTTGGTTTAAATTAAAAAGCCCCACTGACTTTGTGGTGTCTGTATCAGTTTTATCTATGATTTGTGATATATCTAAAATAATTTATTCCAAAATGATTGGATCGACGAATACTTGGTTTCTATTATAGACATCTGGATGTTAACATCAGCATTAATTTGCCAATATTGTTCTATTTTATAGATAAACTATGATTAATCCATATCTTTTTTTGAGTTTTCTTAGTTATTAACCTTGTAGAATATAAAAGAAGGCTTGCAGGTGAGCATGAGTTATAATCTTGGGGTGTGTATTTTTCATAAAATGAAGTTCATAATCACACAGACTCAATCTTCTTTTGTGAGGAGAATTAAGTTTATACATTCTTATTAAGATTACCTTCAATGATACCTGACTGCATCTAGACAGTTTCATTCGATTTCAGTAGCTTCTCGAATGGTGCCTAAAACTGTTAGAGAAGTCCCAAAATATTTCCCGTCAGCCCTTAGAGGCCCAGTAAAGGTAGGAAACATTTTGCCTAATCAGTGTTAAAACGAATTTTCTCATAAACATCTGGAAGATGCAAAGTAACGTGCCACGGGTTTGATCCAGCATTCACCCATATTACTATACTTAGTTTGGTTACAAAAATTTACATAAGCCCAAGGTAGTGTTAACCTGTAAATACCCTCGTTCCTAGATACATAAACTAACCTTTGAGTAAACCTTTTACTCGTATTCTCACATTCTCTCTAGTGCTCCAGATAATGTGTCTTAGTAGCTGAGGATATCGGAACTGGCTAAGGATACAGTTTAGGCATATCAGTTGAAAGACTTACCAAAACACTATAAACCTGTAGTTGATTATGTAGAACGGAATAAATCGATCGCAAAAATAGTTCTCTTTTTGCCAGAAAGTCCAATAGTAGCAATAAAACTAATCCATTTTCTTAAACATTTGTCAAAAATTTATATCGACTCAAGATGATAAAGCATATTATAAGATTATCCCAATGCACACCGCTTTCTGCATCTTCGTGGTGGGACGGCTGTTGGTGGTAGTGGGTGGACAAAAAGCCAATGTCTGTCACTTAAACCGGATTGACGAATACAAAGGATCCATCTGCGTGTGTTGGGAAACCCTGATTTCATGCCAATGTTGCACATAGACCCTAGGGTCTTGGGATCAAATGGCATATGAGCCTATTTTTAGTCACCAAGTACCATGGGATCGTATCTCCTGATCTTGCTCCTCTTCCTTTTGGATTAGACCTGTAGATCAAAGACCTGGAGAATGTCCTTCTAAGACAACCACTTGAGTCTGTCTAGGCACTTGGGAAGTATCTCAGTTCACGGAACGTTTGATGATGACTACAGCTGAAGAAAATACTCTCGCTCTTATTCCTATACTCACAACTATTTAGTGACATTCACTTTTAGTTAACATTGCATCACGTATCTATTCTCTTTTATTCCCACTTTGTGTATTCCTTCATTCTTCAACTCATATAACAGCTCACCTATGGTGGGAATCCTGTCCTGTTTAGACGATCTCAAGTCACTGACTGATCAAAAGTTGAATGCTAGCATCGAACACGAATTCTGAACCCACCTATGCCACTCAAGCTGGCCTCCTTCAAAAATCGCACACTAATCCAGATTGGACAACAGATAGGGTTGGGTATGTCTTTAGAAGGTCTCAACATCAACGTCCATTGTCTATCCGATATCCTCACTCAAGATTCTAGTGAAGAACTGCAAATTGACTCACCATCTGTTGCTTCGAAAGCTTGTTTCGTGTGTGGTTGTCCGGGGACCCTGTGGTATTTTCATCCAGTTCTTTAGCGTTGGCGTTGCACTAAGTGCCAGAATATAAGCAGGACTAATTGATGGGGTCCCAATCAACGGTCAATTATTTGCCATTAAGTAAGAAAGCTTCATCAAATCGAGAAGAAATCGGTGTGGGAATCGACAACGCCTATAGTCCCTTCGGGGGCTACTGCCGGTCCCAAGCCCGGATAAAGGAGGAGGGTTTGGCATGGGGTTAGCGACCCCATCCCGTAGAACACTAACTCGCTAAAAAGACGCTAACCAGGAAAAAAAGTATTCAAACCAATTAAATTCAGCTCTGGAAGTTAGAAGGTCTTCATTTGGAAGAGTTATGACGCCTCATGGTGAATGCCGAGTTCATTCGGGAGTCACGAAGCTGATGCCCTTTCTGACATGACCAACCATAGTAATAGGGTGGAAGAGAAACCTGTACAGGACTAGCACCTGTTATTCCTTCACAACTCCGTGTTTGGTCTTTTAGAGCTTGTCCATTTCAATTGCTTTGATGTTATCAAAGATTGCTGAGAATGGGAGCCAAAGGCTGTTCTGCCATAATTTTCGTTTACTTCATAAAATTTCAAGGCGATTGTTTAACTGAATTAATCTTATTTATTTTTATAAGCGGAACTATTTCTCACTCATTCACATATTTTTATTTATTTGTCGTTTAGTTTAACTATACTGACTTTCCCTCCTCTTCACAATCTCATTACCATATTGTGTGGAGTATGTTTACTTAGCCCCCCACCTGTACTAAGATTTGTATGTTAAAGTAAATAAGCATTACCAATTTCACTGTCTAGAATCTTATAATTACAGAAATGAAAAAAAAAGATGGAAACATCCTTTTGAGGTCATTAAAATAAAATAGGTAATAACATGGTTCATAGCTAGCCTGAACATGTAAGATTATGGTCGAAAATAAATGTAACGTTCAGGAAGTAACTTTTTTTAATAAATAATAATAAGATTTTAATACATCTATTATGTGTGACGGTATGGTCACAATTAACACACAGATTAGGTAAATAGCTTATTTATGAAACTCCATATGAGTAACTCAGATTTATCTCAGTTACAATTGACCAAGATTGAAGACAAAAGGTTTCTACTACCCATACATCCAGTCATTTTTATACGTTTCACAAGTATGTTTGTCCATCCGACAAAGGAATTCAAAGTCAGTGGGATGGCAATGAGCTGATAAAAGAAAATAACATTCACTAGCTAATCACAATTTACGTAATCTGGCCATATAGATATACAGAATGGCATAAAGATTAAAAACTGAGTCTTTCCACCTTGTAAAATAAAGCGAAACAATTTGGTTTTCAGAAACTCTCGTGTGTGCAGATAAACTCAGTCAAACAAATAGTGCCATTAGGCTCAGTTGTTGCAAAAATTGGTATAAAAGGATTGGGAGAAAAGTTGTGGTTCACTAGTGCTACTGCCAGTCAATGATTTGGTATAGATAAGTAGTTGAGACATATTTCCTCATTACACTAGTGAATTTGTTTTTTCTCTTGTGTATGTTATGACCTACTGCTGCTATGCTAACCGTCTTTGTCTACTTTTGTTGATGTGTATAAGATATCAGGGCTGTCATCCACAAAGTCCAAATCATCCAGTTGTGTTCAAGGTGTTCGCTATACTATGGACGTCTTAGTCGTTCAGTCAAAAACTAGAAGGAAGAGAAATAGAGAGAGTATGTAGCCTTTTCTGACACCAGTCGTCACTCGGAAAGCATCTGTGAGCTGCCTTCTACGCACAGCTCTGTAGTCCGGTTCGTCGTAGGAAGTCCCGTATCCTGACGACGATGTTCTTAGGTACTCTGTGGTGTCGACCGAGATTCCACAAGGCTTTTCTATCCACGCTGTCAAATTCTTACACCTGATGATGAAAATAGATGTATAGCAATGAGATCCATTCAATTGACTGCTAAACAATAATCGTCAGTGTCACAATTTAGTCAGTACACAACCGATCCATACGAAAGCTAGCTTGTTGATCTCGAAGTTGAGCATCTACTGAATCTTTCACTCGGCCCAGAAACACTGTTGTAAAATTTTCCTAGTACTGACAGCGCTCACACCTACCAAGATCTCACTACTCAAGTATTTTGATGAGGTATGGGTTTTTGTAGTCTGTTGAGACTTGTTTTTACTCTCCAATCTTTCTAATGAGAACATTGAAAATCCTTTCAGTTACTTTTATGTCTGAATTCATTACTTCCGCTGGTATATTGTTTGGTCCTAGAACTTGTTGCTCAGAGCATTTTTCATGACTGCACTTGTTAGTATCTCAAGATTTTTCTTTGCAAGGTGAGGTTGCTAACCTTACGCCCAATCCTCCTCCTTTACCCGAGCTAGGAACCTGAAGTAGCCCCAGATGAATTGCAGATGGAGTTATTGAAATTAGTGATTAAGCATAATCTTTATCCAATCAGAACGCAACCCAATGATATTTCATTTAAGATATTTGTCACTGAAGCTAAAAACACAAATGCAGAATTAGGTGCAAATGAAAAAAAGTTATTCACAGGGACGAATTCCACAATATCTTAGAACAGCTGCATGACCCCTGGTTATCAGCTGAAAATCATTTGAGCAGTAAACAAGATATGAATTATTTCGGATTTAATAATTGATATTGATTTATGGTTGATTTTCGGTATTAACTAAAGCATATATAATGAATGTGCATGTTAATAATAATAACTAAATGTTTTCTAGTTTTACCAGCGTTACATCCTTGTCTCCCAAACTGGTGGATTAAATGTAGCTTTTTATACGTATCTTTTTATTTATCATAAAATATACTTAGATACTTGACTTATTTTTCAAGATAAAAATATGATCAGTTATACTTCATAGTTAGGTAATCTCAGGGGCTGTCAGATATATAATGATGGTTGTGGCTTCTTGGTTGTCTATACTGTGAAAAGATACTTTCTTTAAAGGGACCTCAGGTAGAAAATGGTTTAGGAATAGTCTTATCGACCTGAGAGTGTGTCCACAATGCTCTCATATGGCCAGCGAATATATAGCCTCTGCCAGGGAAGTCCTACTCACTGCCTTCTCGTGGCTGGGGGTGTTGTTTACGAAAGTGAGAGGACGAAAAGCGAATGTCCGGCGCTTTAACCGGGTTGGTGGACATGGAGGGTCCATCTAGGGGAGTTGGAAAACTCTGACTCCAAACCAGTGGTGCACATGGGCTCCAGTATCCTGAGGGAACAAATGGCGTACGAATCAACCGTTGATCACCGGCTACCATGGGACTGCATCTCCTCACGATGCTCCACTGCCTTGTGGATCAGACATTCAGGTCAAAGGCTCCGGGTGTAGCCTCCTAAGGAAACCACCTGTTTCAGTCTGGGCAGTATCACAGCCCTCATACAAATCGAATGAGATTTGTGCGGCGCATATTTATCTGGTGCTTCCTTGTACCAATATTTATGTGTTTAAATAAATAAACCACAATGTCCAAAAGGCAACTGCTTAAGGCCAGTCACATACGGCTTCTTTTTGAGTAGTTTTAAATGAACTAAACCCTTACTTTTAACGCTTCACCGCCGGGAACGGAAATCTGAGGAGTAAAGTGAGGTTTACTGCTTTTAGTACGAACCTATTTTGACCCCTTTTCTCCGTTGTGAGAAGGTAGCATCTCTGGACACGTTGATCATCTAAGGAAGGCATCCTACTCCCTTCACACCATTATACAACTGACGCTATTACTAAGCCGTCAAATCTTAAGCTGTTTTTAGTTTTGGCTCTCTCAAATAAACCTGTCCGAAATGGTAAGACCTAACAAATGAGGTATTCTAGCCAGTATAGTTTGTTTAGGTCACTATAATAAGTGACCGTGACCACTATGTTAAGGTACCAGCTTCGGTATCTTCTTCCGAATTATCAACGATAGTCAGAAATAATGAATAATTTCTGTCTGTCTATGGATGGAATCTCTTTTTCATGTTTCCTGCGCTTTGAATAATGCTATAATGGAGCGAATATTGTGAAATTTTGAACTATTTTACATGTAATTTAGGTGCACTAATCAATAATCCAACTGGACAATATAATTCCTCTCATAATGAGTGCCTGATCACACAGGCCCCATTACAATACAAGCATCTGTTACATCAATCATTCTGATATGTCTTGTGGGTTGAACGCTATATTCAGATCCTAAGCTATTCGGATAACCCCAGGCTAGCACTACTCAGCGACTTGAAAGACCAGAGAGAAGACACGAGTATCAAAGAATCACTTTACTACAAGGTTCATCTTTGTACAGAAAAATCGTAAGTATTTATAGGTGTTTGCTTAAGTTAAATCAACATCCTAATTCAGCCAATCCAATAAACGACATATATTGCTACTGACCAATGGTAGCATGCCACGTTGGAACTCCAGAATGTTCTGTCGTGCTCTGATTGGTTGGAGCTCTTTTTGAGCCTCTGGAAACCGACTTAACACATTCCTTTATTTTTACTGGTGTGAAGACAAAGTATAATAATCCATAAGATTGTTGGATTAAGATAATCAAATCTATCTATACTTGATTTGACTGCTAATTAACTCACTATCAGCATCTATAGCTCCCATGGAAAGAATCAATGAAATAGTGCCCATTGTATGTCTCGTGAATATAAAATGAATGTGATGGTGTCTAGAAGGTAAGACAATCGCTGTTTGATATGGATAAGTTCACTGAGTTATTTTTTCTTTATTATCGTGCTGTTTTTGCCTCTATATTAAAAGTCTTTTCATTGCTCCATTTATATAGAATCTTTTTTCACTGAGATTTCTAATCAAAAGATATTTATCTGATGAATATCTTTAAACAACATTTTAGCTAGAAAAGGACCGGTTTCATAGAAAGATCTCTGTTGTAGTCATCGCTAAACAACAAGTATCAAAAAATCTTGAAATTTCACGCGAATATATAAAACTTTTGAAAGAACGCATTTCTATGTTGGAACAGTTTTATTCGAATATAATTCCGAATCCACTTAACTCAAAGCATTCTTCACAAAAAAGATCTGACTATTTTCCAACAGAGCGAACGAATTGTAAACGGTATCTAAAAAATATTGATTCAATTAGATCAACGCCAGATTTATCAGCTACTTTTCCTACCTTAAGTAAACTTCTTTTTCTCAGTAGTGAGTATCAAGATCCTCGTAAATGTGTAACACCAAAGGTTCTTCAGCGTCTATCTAATCAATCATGTCAAACGGACAAACGTGTTCACAACTACAGTCGGTAAGCTTAGCCATCTTGATCAAATGTTCACCACGTTTCTCAGTATACACCACCTGTGAATTGTTTTTTTAATTTGCTTTCGATCAATAGACACAGTAATTGTATTGACAATGGGTTACATGGGATACTGTTCTGATTCTATTTTTTGCTAAATTTTAGTTTAGTATCTCCTTGCAGAATATATACATTAATCGCTATATCGTCCAAAACTAATATTTGGTTTCCAAGCCATAACACTGTACACCATAAATTCACCAAATACAACAGATAGTGTTTACCATTTTGACTAGTAAACACATGTTGTGGTGTGGAAGATAGTCATTTTGCTAAGTAAAAACTGAAATTTCCTTAAATTTAATTGAAACTTGCAGACTTTATGTTCACACATGAACATAAGGAATGGCAGATTTAGATCCCGACTAATGAAAGCCCGTTTGCTCAATATTTCGTAGTATTTTGGGTGAAGTTTCATACTCAGGGCTGTGCCATTTAGCCATAAGGTTTTGGTTATCCTTCTGGACATCATCTACCTGAACTTCGTATAAAAATCTGTCAGAATTTGACAATATTTATGGCATTTTGATTTTTCACAAAAAAAAACATATAACATCAGGAAAAGGGTACTGAAAATAGACTGTGTTAAACAATATAGTATTGGAAAATAAAGTCATTCATAAAGTAATATTTTCAATTAATTCGTAAGTCTCACAAGCATTCTATACTACATCAGAAGCAAATTCGGTTTTGAAATATTTTTTCAACAGTGATTTAAAAAATGTTTGTCAAATGAAGTGTTAAAGAACTATGTGGAATATAGCTAGTTTCACTCACCCGCTTGAGAGACAACGTCTTAATTGAAACTCTGCTGTTAAAGATTCTAATCCATCTGACTACATATTTTGTTGAAAATAATATACACTTTCGGGTTGACTATATTCATCATATAAAACTTTACTCCTCACCACTTATAACTTTCACTGAAGGTTGCTCTTTCATTATTCTTTGTTTTACCGAAAATTGGCTGACTTTAAATCATTGACCACTTTTTGTTGTGATTTACACAGTGCAAAAGAAATACAAACATAAAATATTCCAACTCATAAATTATTGCTAATTGCATTCTCAGTAGTTGCTCATTCCCTATTTCCAACCGACCATCATCAGATGAAAAAGGGACATCTAAATATTGACTTACTTCAGTCGGTAAGCTACAACGTAGGATCAGGCATATTTATGCATCGGTTCAAGTTGCCATAACTCATTAGCACAAGATGAACACCGAATTCATAGAAGTAGTTAATTTAATGGTGGTAATATATAAAAGAAAGGTTGTATATAATGATATAGTACAGGAAGGAAGACAGATATGGAACAATTTTAGTCTCATAGTTTAAAGGAAGACAGAGAGCGTACACGCGATTGTTATCGATTCTGAGCCATGTCACACAGAGTCTCCAACCATTGGTTACGATAGTCGCGCGGACCCCAACCAAGTAGTCTGTATCTACCAACATGGCTTAGACTAAAAGTTAGGGACTTCAAGCTCTGATGCCACGTTTTGTTTTGACCGCCCCTAACTTTCTTCCAACCATCCCCAAAACAAGTCAGCATTGCGCGTCGTGGTAATCGGTGTTCAGGCATACGTAACACGTGGCCCAACCATCTCAGTCGATGAAGATTCATCACCTCATCAACTGATTTACCATTATTCCATAATACCCTGTGTCTAACCTCACTATTACTTACCCGGTGATCCCAGCAGATGCAAACAATATTTCTAAGGCATCTGTGGTCAAATACTTGTAGCTTATGAGTACCTTCTACTCTTAATGGCCACTTCGCAGCATTAAAGTAGAACAGAACGAACTGTTGTGCAGCATACTCGTCTCTTAATTGATAGACAGATGTCTCGCCTTCACCATAGGTGACGTAGGTTGGCAAAAACCAAACGAGCATTTTAAATCTGTGCAGAGAGTTCGTCAGACAAAAATACATCAGGACTGATCAGACTTCCAAGATAAGTGAAGTTGTCGACTCATTCTTTTACTTCACTCCCTATCCTTATTTCCGATGATGACGCGGATCAATTCTGGAGCAACAATATGCATAAAGAGGGAGAAAAACTCACTCCAAACATCCTGGCATTGCTGCCCAGTGCTACCAAAAGACTGCATTATATCAGCGTCTTCACCAGGCAGGACTATGTCATCTGGACCTCCTGAACAGAGATCAATTCTCGAAAATTCAGTCGACGTGAGATATTGCCAGCCGTAGGTCTATTATGAAGTTAAACAAAATTTGGGGTAGTGGACAGACTTAACGGACACCACTCGAGGTTGTAAAATCAGATGACAGTTCGCCATAAGCTATCACTCGACTGTTAGTTTTTGAGTAAAGAGCCCCCACAAAGGTTTATATACTTCTGAGGTACACCTTTCAATGGCAGACACTGTCACAGAGCCTCTCGGTCTACAGAGTCGAATGTTACTTATAAGTCAAGAAAGAACATCACTGTCTCACGCCGATTAGCATGCCTGTGTTCTTAAACCTAAAGAATAGTGAATATGTGGGGCGACCAAAACAAAACGTGGCATCAGAGCTTGAAGTCCCTAACTTTTAGTCTAAGCCATGTTGGTAGATACAGACTACTTGGTTGGGGTCCGCGCGACTATCGTAACCAATGGTTGGAGACTCTGTGTGACATGGCTCAGAATCGATCACAATCGCGTGTACGCTCTCTGTCTTCCTTTAAACTATGAGACTAAAATTGTTCCATGTCTGTCTTCCTTCCTGTACTATATCCTTATATACAACCTTTCTTTTATATATTACCACCATTAAATTAACTACTTCTATGAATTCGGTGTTCATCTTGTGCTGATGAGTTATGGCAACTTGAACCGATGCATGAATATGCCTGACCCTAGGTTGTAGCTGACTGACTATGTGGTCGATACAGACTTAACCAGGTCTGAAGCCAGCCCGGTTTTCTCGCGTTTGAAGTTTACGTGTCTTAGTTATGCGCCCGATAATTATTGAGGCTAGTATTTTAGATGCTATATTAGTCAACTTAATCCCTCTATGGTTATCACAGGATGATTTTGACCCCTTCTTATATAATGGGACAATCACTGATGTAACCAGTCCTATGGGATTGCGTCCAACTCCCAGATTTTCGCTAAAATTAGACCACCATATTTAAAGACATCTGGACCAGCTGCATTCCCTCGTTTCAGATTAGCTATAGCTTTTTGAACTTTATCCAGAGTCGGGGGCCTACTTCAATGCTCTATTCAGGCTGTTTTGAAATGGTGGGTAGCTTTAGGGGAGTTGAACTGCTCCTTAAAGTATTCCGCCCATCGTTCTAAACGTCTGGGCTGAGAGCAGATAAGAGTTTCGTCTTTTTTGGCGATTGTTTCACACTTGAATTCTAAATTCCGGTTAACGTAGATCTTTTTGCTTTCGCTCTTCGTCGTGTTCAGAGCCTAATTAGATGAGTTTACGAGAATCCATAAGTGCAATGGACTAATAAGAAATCCATTGGTCTTTGTAACCCTTTGGTTTAAATTACTAGTAAATGTTACTGCTGTTTCCACAGCTGTTCGTACATCTTTCCAAGAAGCATCTGGGTCGGTCTCGTTTACAGAACTACCCAAATGTTAATTCAGTTGTTCCTGGGAATTACTTTTGGCTTTCTCATCCTCCAGTACAATTCTAATGGGTCTTCTTAGTGTAGATTTCCTGCGTCCAGTGAGGCTCAAACAAATGCGTCCTCGTATTAAAGCATGATCAGAGTCTAAACATGTATTCTAGTACGAGCGACAATCTTCTATAGAGTCTCTCCAACGATGACTGATGGCAATATGGTCTATTTGAGTCCATCGTTTGTTTGGTGTAGGTGGACGTCATGTTAGGCGATGTCTCTCCTTATGCTTAAAATTAGTGCTTGCTAAAAATAAACGATTGTCTGAGCATAGTTGTAACAGGCGATTACCATTATTTGTTCGCTGAGTCAGTATACTAAAATACCTACTTATGTCTTTTTGTTGGGTTTAAGCTGCCTAATTGGGCATTAAAGTCACCTGCTACGAGTACTATGTCTGAGCGTTTAGCTTGATGAAGAAGTTCAGAAAGCTTTCTGTAAAAGTCATCTTTCACTTCATCCGTACTGCAGTCAGTGAGAGCGTAGTCAGAAACGACCAAAAGACAACGACATGTGTCCTTATCCTTCTGAGTTCTTACGGAACCGTATAGCCGAACAGCACATAGGCGACCGTTAACGGGGATCCACTCTAATAGTGCTTGTTCTGCCCTCGTACTAAGTGCTATTGCGTACATGTGCAAGTCCACGAGAGCTAGCCATAGGGTTGCCAGATACACGGAGGGTGTATCTCGTCGACTCTCCGTTTTGACAAGGTGAGGTCAAGTGGATGATCACACTAGGACCCTGTATGTGTGTTTGAGAGACACACTAAACATCAATCGTACGATATTCTAGGGTCTTAGCGAAGAAGGCCTGTTGACCGATTTGGCACAGGGTGCGTACGTTGAAGGCTTTAATGTGTAGTTTGGAGCGCGGTTTCAGTAGACTTGGTGTAACACGTGGAATCAGCAGTTAGAGAGCAGCAGTACAGATCTGAAAAACAGCACAGCACACAATGTTAAACGAGGACTTCACACCAAGAGAGAACACAGTGGGAATCACGAGTCTCTTTATTTCAAAATCAAGAAGCGCGGTGCGCGAGAGTACAGCGGGAAGAGTCAGTTTACAAAGTAGTCTTATGAGTCATCTTGTGAGGTGAGTGTACATAGGGCTTGCTCTTCTTCATCTAAAGAGTTTATGTTTGGTCGCCCTGCAATAGAAAGAAAATAGAATGCATTAGTATATCATAGCAATTTCAACTCCGTTACACCGCCCCCTCTCTTAAATAGGCACTGTCCTCAGTGCCTGGTCTCGGACATGGATATGCTATCCCCCCCTTCTGATGGTATCTCATAAA